ACCCCCCCCCACCCCCAAATATGACGTATGCACACGCGTTGTATATTTTTCTAGCTCAGTAAAGTGCCAAAAAAAGAAATTATTTTCAATAACTTATGCACGTGTAATTTAGATATCCGTTTATTATAGTGAATGGAGGAGAGAGAATTTTAATATAACACCTAGAGGAAAGTATCAGCCCTTCAGATCATCGTTACTCATGTTCATCCGTTCCGGAAGTTAGTTTAACTGATATTTTGAATGACTCGGAAAAATGTTCTGAAACGAAAAGACGCTTCCGTTATCATAAAATTTGCACACCACCTTCAACAATTTTGGACCATATTTCCTTCGACTGATATCGGAAATTTGGTTTCTTAAACTTTTATTGGAACATTTACCCTCTCCATCAAACTATTTCTGCAACATGTTGCAAATATACTAACGTGATGATTAGCAGCTTCTTTCTGCTATGAAGTTCATCTCAAGTTGGCTGACTTTGAAAGGCCTTAGTACAAATTTTGTTCACACTTTGGAGTTGTAAAAGTGTTATATATGACTTCTTAAATTTGAAAAATTTGAGAGTTCACAGAAGATTTGTTGAGGAGAAGTTTGCGGTGGTGATATAGTTATTTTTCCGTCCGGTGTTTGTTGAAACGTTGGTGGAAGATGTTTATAAAGGAGAGAATCACTTCCACTGAGTATTTCACAGCTCATAACTATCGTACAATTTATACACCAATTTCAACAGATTCATCTGTCAAAAGCAAACAAAGAGTAACGTTAGTGGTGAACGAAAAAATGACTTAAATCTCCAAACTTCTGAAACGAGCAGGACATTTTTAATTTTTGTGATTGTTATGCCAGCGTATTGTTGCCCTCTTACCTTTCCTAGTCTTCTTTTGAATCAATTAAATTATATCATATTTTTGTGATTAACGCCAATACGTAAATGCAGTGATGGTACACATGAAGGAAATGAAGATACTGGAGTCTAACAGATTGAGTGATAAAAGGGGCTGAAAAATAATGAAATTTGTTTTTTTAAGGTATAAGTACCTTCAGGTAGTAAAGAAATTAATATCGTTCGTATGTTCTTAAGTAACATAGCAAAACCGTTCTCTTAATCGAAAAAATGTACCATGATTAATTTAATATTGAATGTCGCATTTCTCAAACTGTAGTCGTTAATACTACCTAGATCATTTAATCAATGGTTTTGAAATTATAAAATGCGTATAAAACCAAGCAGTGACATGCATGTGTATGTTATCTTAACCATGGACATAAATATTATTAACATAATGTGTACTTAACTACTATAATGTGACAAAGTAAATAATAAATAAAAGAAAGCGAAAACTCAGTATGATACTTATGACAAGAACAAAGGAAAGCCATTAGTGTTGTACAAAGTGTGTCAGTGTCAATCGAATTCGACACGATACGTTCGAGAATATAAAGCCAAGAGGAAATTCGATGGGTATAGGTGAAAGATAATCGAAACCCACTTTCATGCATTTCACAGGAATTTAATTAAAAGTCAATTAAGTCAACAAAGTCAAAAGTCAAAGTATCAAATGCAGAGGAAATTATTTCTTTTCTCTCGCTGTTTACTACAATATTTTTTCATGTTTCAATGAGCTACAATGAACCACTCTATTCCTACAGTAGCATAGTACGAAAAACTTAATTTTCATCGAAAGTCAACTCTGATTGTTTTCCCTTTCTTCACATTACGTGAGTGATTTGTTTATTGATTGATTATTTTGTTTCTCTGGTGACGTCATATGATATGTCACACTTAAATATAGTCCCGTAAGACTACTGCTTCACATAACCCTGATGGTGGCGGTGTTTCTCCAACGCTTGGATTGGAGATTCGCCTCGACTTACACACGTCGACGTCCAGTGTTTCCCCACTGGAGGTATCTAACTCAGCGGGGTACTCACCCAGCGGAGTACTTCCCCAGCCAGGATAAGCTCTAAGATCGTGACTGGTTTCCCGTCGTGTGGTAGAGTAGTGCATGGAAATGTGTGTGTGTGTGTGTAAGGGGAGAGAAAGGGTAAGGCTTAATAAGGAAAGATCGGGCGCGGTCCGTGGCCCGTTTGTTGGGTTACTGCTCCGGCATTCGCCAGGTGTTGATCGGAGAAACCGTGTAAAACATATCGATCAGAGCGTCCGGCCACTAGAATTCTTCTCCAAACAGCGACTAAAACCGACCTAACTATCGAACCTAGTGTCGTAAATTCACCACAGTCGAGACTCGACTGCCTTAGACCTCCCAGTCAGAGGCGCTGTCTGTCACTTCACCTGAAGGGAGTGAGGAGGCCATTTGTGTAGCGCAGCGTTGGTGTCTGTCTGCGGCCGGGGCGTGTCCACCGGGCGGGGCGTCGCGGCGTCGCAAACGCCCTTCGTGATGAACGGTGGGAGGGCTTGTTTTTCGTTTTCGCTTTCGCTGTCCGCACCGTGCGC